TCAAATATCTGGCCCTCATTTCAACAACAGGTTGTTGTGAAGAACACCTTCAGACATTCCACGCTGCTACAACTGACCTAAAAACCTAATTTAAACAATTCTGCTCAAGATGTCAATTATAAGTACCCCTCTCATCCATCAATGCATAAAAACATTTCCAAATCTGTCATTTGAGCAGGTAGCTCCACACGTTGTTTTGCCTTTGTACAGCCTGACAAGAAAACAAACAGTTGACTGTTGTTGTCTTTTACCTACAGTTTGCTCTTTCCTAAACACACAAAGACAAAAACAGCACCTAGACAGACATGAATACATAAATGGATGCATACATTATCTTAAAGGAAGCCGATGCTAAGCACTTAACCACTAGAACCCGGGTTGTATTACGGCTAGTGGTATCCCTCTTGTCACTGGGACTCAACTACAAGGTTCACTTATTAACATTTTCATAACTTTTTTTTAACTGACTCCATCAGCAAAACATAGAAACCAATTTAGACACCGCTAACAACGGACAGTGATGGCAGGGCACCTGCATGGAAATTCATAAACCCCTGCACACATTATGCCCTTGTTGCGAAGCTCTTTGCTAGCAGGCGAGATGTGTACACAGGCTGACAGTGGAATTATCAGTGGCAAAGGATGAGTAAAGCATAAGTGGCCATTCAAGCTCCTTGTTGTAAATTTGTGATTTGGGGTTATACAAATAAAAACTGACTTTGAAATTGGTGAGAAACCATACACAAACTGGACTGCACTAAAATGTTGCTGCTCCGCTGTAACAGAAACATTGTAAACCATGACAAAGGCTCACATTGCACCAGTGCCCACACACACTGTTGTAGTTCAAATATCTGGCCCTCATTTCAACAACAGGTTGTTGTGAAGAACACCTTCAGACATTCCACGCTGCTACAACTGACCTAAAAACCTAATTTAAACAATTCTGCTCAAGATGTCAATTATAAGTACCCCTCTCATCCATCAATGCATAAAAACATTTCCAAATCTGTCATTTGAGCAGGTAGCTCCACACGTTGTTTTGCCTTTGTACAGCCTGACAAGAAAACAAACAGTTGACTGTTGTTGTCTTTTACCTACAGTTTGCTCTTTCCTAAACACACAAAGACAAAAACAGACACAAATTCTTTGTCTTCCACAGCACCTAGACAGACATGAATACATAAATGGATGCATACATTATCTTAAAGGAAGCCGATGCTAAGCACTTAACCACTAGAACCCGGGTTGTATTACGGCTAGTGGTATCCCTCTTGTCACTGGGACTCAACTACAAGGTTCACTTATTAACATTTTCATAACTTTTTTTTAACTGACTCCATCAGCAAAACATAGAAACCAATTTAGACACCGCTAACAACGGACAGTGATGGCAGGGCACCTGCATGGAAATTCATAAACCCCTGCACACATTATGCCCTTGTTGCGAAGCTCTTTGCTAGCAGGCGAGATGTGTACACAGGCTGACAGTGGAATTATCAGTGGCAAAGGATGAGTAAAGCATAAGTGGCCATTCAAGCTCCTTGTTGTAAATTTGTGATTTGGGGTTATACAAATAAAAACTGACTTGACATTTGAAATTGGTGAGAAACCACTTAAAGTGTTAAAACAAGAGGGCAGCACTTTAGTTTAGCATGTTAGCATGCTAACATTTTATAATTAGCACAAACAAAAACAAAGTACAGCTTAGGCTGATGTGACTGTCATTAGTGTTTGATGAAAAGGAACATGATGACAAGGTATTATGATTCATTTTGTGGGAAAACGTGAATATCTCGAGGCTACTGAAATTCCCTGGTGATCCATTGAACAGTTGTTGAAAGTTTCCAGTCGAGGCCAAAGTGGTGGGCACATCGACAACGTCTGGTTAAAAATATCTAAAAAGACAATTTCCACACTGCATCACATGTGGCACAACTGCTTTGAAACAGCAAAATTTAATGTTGTGCTTCTGGCCATACCCCAGTCTGAAATAAAAGCAGGTGTTTCCCATTGTCTGTCAAATCAAAAACACCTGTTTAAACAGCAGTGATTGGGGTGTGAGCAGAGAAGCACCATTTTATACAGATTCAATCTTTGCAGACCTGTAAAGCCACAGATTTTGATTCCTTGTAGTCTCCTAATGTTGTGCTGACGTTTTTGTTAATGCCAGACAACAAAATAAAACACACTGGAAAAGGTAATGCCACATATCAACCCGACTGAAGACCTCACCAGATATAGGGCTCAGATCCTTAACCAAGTCTGATGATCTACTGTGAACCTCACACCACTTCCTGCATTGACACACTGCAAGACATAAATTGGGTTCATCTGCATTTGAGACTGGGCTTCTGATTATATCTCAACTCCTGTCATTTTGGAAGCAACTTGTTCAGAATGTAGTAGGAAGACTGTAAATTAAAGAAATTTGTCCTTCTTTACATGGGTTTTAAAATCGGTTTTTGAGCACCGAATACTCCGAATACCTCAAAAGCAATAAACAGCTTAGGTCAACTAATAACTACTTCAACACAAAAGTGACAGGCATGGAGCCAGGGAAATGACTGAAACACCTAAGGCGAGATCACGGGCTTGACCTTAACTTGACCACATTGCTCAGGTGTCTTTGATCATAATTCACACCTAACTTGCTGACAGCCAGATGAAGTGATGGCATTTGTCAGTAAGCAAAAATTAAATACATAAAGAAAACATAAAAAAATTAAGATTGACATGTAACTGAAGAAAGTTTAATAACAGGCGTTATTAAGAAGAGGATAAAGGCAAAACAGAAGAACACATTATACTGTTTGGATCCACAAAGGTGTACAATCTATGCACAGTATATGTGTTATCTTCACTTTATGTGTGTCTGTGTTTCTCTTTACAGGAATGTGTTCTAACACCACCAGATGTGAGATGCTACAGGGGTCACACCCTCACCTAGTTTGACCCCAGATGATCCTAAAGCTGCAGAGGTCATATTAGTCACTGTAGTAATGGCCATCAGAGACAGAGGGTAGTTTAGTAATAATACCACAACCTTTGAAACACACTTGGAATCAAATTGTTATACTCTTACATCACTGACATGTGATAAACTATGACTGACAGCTGGCAGACAGGTTTTTCCCTTAGTCTTTAGTACAAAGATAAGTTAATAATGGCTTAGAGGTTAACGAGGCATAATAAATACTTTGAAGCTTTCTCAGCATCCTCTCATACAGAGCAGGTGGAGGCAACATGGTGGAGACTCTGCCAAGTCACCTGCTCACTGATTCTTTCATAATAAATTTCTGAATAGTCCTGTCAAGTCAAGTCAGTTTTACTCTATATACCTTTAACAAATATCCTGGCACATATGATCTGTCTTGATGCCTGAAGAAAAATATCTGGCACCCCAACAACAGTTTGCCTTTTTATTTTCATAAAGAAATGTGGTGTTATTTCATATATTGTTGTAGATAACTATATGAATTATTGATTTTGTAAAACCTAAGCTGCTGTTCCCAGTGTTGCCAGATTTGAATAATCAACTGTTTGGGTTTTCTGGGATGTGTAGTTTGTGATTATGTGACTTGTACTGCCTTATACTGACAGGTGTTTCTATTATTTTGTCCAACCTATTTTTATCATTGAAGATATGGTAAATGACAGAAACAAATTTCTGTATGATGCAGTACAGTTCAACAGCAGCACAAAGTACAAACTGATCATACAGTTAAATCAGCACCTCCATGAACATCATCATGTTCATGGAGGTGCTGATTTACTGCTGGATGACTGCGCTAGTTTTAGCTAAGTACCTAATTAACTGATAGCTCAGTGCGCACGCAGGCGCGCGTACTAACTGCCTTGAGTCACAGTTTTCAGGCTTCACTTGTTTACACTCGGAAAACTCAAGTTAGCTGAATTTGCTATCAGCAGTTCCTGCTTGCAATTAACCACAGATGTATACTGACAACTCCGTCTCAATTACCCCGACACCAGACGGGTTTACTGGCGTTTACTGGGGATGGGGATCGGAGACAATAACATTCCCACAAAGCGTTCACTAAGTTTTGACACGTATTTGCAGCAATGCCTGCTAAGGGATATACAGATGCCTTAACTGCCTCCATGCGCTGTGCGCCACTGCTGCAGCCCCTTGTGGGAGCCCCCACAGTTCAGCACAGCTCACTTTAATTAGCCTCCGTGTGCTCCCCAGTACTAGACAGTTAAATATCCTCTATTCCTCTGCAGGACAGCACAAACTGATGCAGCACGTATGGCGATGGGGATCGGAGATAATAACATTCCCACAAAGCGTTCACTAAGTTTTGACACGTATTTGCAGCAATGCCTGCTAAGGGATATACAGATGCCTTAACTGCCTCCATGCGCTGTGCGCCACTGCTGCAGCCCCTTGTGGGAGCCCCCACAGTTCAGCACAGCTCACTTTAATTAGCCTCCGTGTGCTCCCCAGTACTAGACAGTTAAATATCCTCTATTCCTCTGCAGGACAGCACAAACTGATGCAGCACGTATGGCAGAACAAGTCTAAACGATGTCTTTCCATAGTCTAAGGTAGGCCCAAGGAGCCCACAATGAGGCGTTTTGGTGTGCTTTATGCTGCGTGACCTGGCATGACAAAATCATCTGTCATATTTCTGCAAGTTATGTGGAAAATTACTAGACGTTTTCACTGAAGGAGAAAGGGTGTGGGGATGTAGTATAGAGAGAAACTGGCCTATCCATATCAAGTCAAGCTTATATGAAAGAAACAAAAATTGGCTAGACACACAAATGTGGAGGACAATGATGTTAAGGGTTAGGGACAACATTTAAACCTCATTAGCTCATGAGGGCCTGGAGGGCAGGTGGTGCCAAGTGATGTGATACAGGTCAAGAGAGGAGCCAGGAACCGTGGGCTATCTAAACCTTTACAAGTGAATATAATTAACCATCTGAGCTCAGATAGTAAATGATTTGCACAACAATAAACAATTATAGCATACCTGCCCTTGAGGTGTAAAACGCTGCAACAAGCACTAACAGCAGCCACGTCTCGCGCACTGCGCTCCATCGATCCATCATATTGCATTTGAAGCTATCGATGCCGCGGCCAGTAACTCCCCCGTGGCTCCCCTGGGCTCTGTGGGACACCTGCAGACAAAGGCTCTTCGGCTCTGCACACGCGAAGTCACGCCTGTGCGTCTTTACGCGCACCCCGCCACCTGACAATCAAGAATGCGCGCTCAAAAGCTGGTTTAACCGATGATAGGTTATATTCAGCAGTCCATGTCCTCCAGTGTTTACGGTTTTTCGCGAGACCAGTTTAAAAAATCCCGTAATCTCGAGTGGCCTTTCCTCCCTAACCCTCAGAGAACTTTCCCTTCTCTCCCACCTCCCTCTCTCCTCCTCTCCTCTCTGGGGTGACCCCTCCCTCCCCGGAGACTCCTGAGACTTGTGGGGCTGTGCAGAAACAAAAATAATGACACTGCCCTTATTGGCATCTTTATTGTCTCATTTAAGGAACTATGTGGTGTCTCTCTGCCTGTCCCTCTGGCGCATGCAGGCACTCATTACACCAGCACTCACGCATTACAACTCTGTCACCGACAAATGCCTGGGAACATGTGCAATAAATTTCATTGCCTGAATATGAACCTAACAAGGGACTGTTCTCTCTATAGGACCTAATACAAAATATACATCATGAACAATAAAGGCTTGTGGCACATTTCATTCACAGTGCTCTCTCTCTCTCTGTAAAGCACTCACAAAGCATGCTAGGACAGGACATCTGTGCTGCCCAACTAATAAAAATATGCTGCTCCAGATTCCAAATTCCAGTGCCTGTCTGTCTTTGCCCACCCACACTCTCCTCAAATGCACACACCAGTCTTCCTATAGGCATAATGAAAAGCAAAATGTCCTCCCTACCTACGTTTTTTTCAAGGCTTTATCCTTCTTTATCTCTAATATAAGAAAGTCAAAAGGAGAAAACAGCTCACTGGGTGGTATCAGAACCCATTTAGGAGACATATATGCCAGAAAAAGGTAGACAGAATCTGAGCTCAGCTCATGCAGACACATGCATATGTGCACGACTGTCTATATGGGCCTCAGGCCCCCATTAGTCTGTATTAAGTAAGGATAAATTTATATGTGATTGCACGTAAATTGTGTCAGACTTTAAATAAAAGTGTGTATTCAAGTCATAACCAAATGTATTTATGCAGTGCACAATAATTATTAGAAAATCGCATTTTGGTAACAGAAGTAAGTGACATCCAGGCACATACAGCAGGCTACATACTGACTTTTTGTTTTGGGTGAACAAAAAAGTAGAGTCCTGGCATAATTCCAAAGGCCCAACCTTCAGCTCCAGGTAGGCTGTCTTTAACTTATGACCAGCAGCTATACTCTTGTGTGCCAGTGTGTATGTGCGAGTGAGTGAGTGAGAGAGAGAGAGAGAGAGAGAGAGAGAGAATTTTGCATTTGTCTGTGTGTAGGATTTGTTTAGTCTGTTCCACCAGTTTTAATTATAATGTTTCAGGCTCTCCTATTGACAAAAAGAAAGAAAACATCCTCAGGCATCATAATGTATAATGTAGTCAAATTACTGTTGCCTTGGGATAACGGGAAAACATCCTGTTCATACAGTTACAGAGAACTGTTATCTCATTGAACACTGGGTGGCGCCAAATCTCTTCACAGAGGTTTACAAAGGCCGACTTCTATCTACCGATATCAGTGTTTCTTATCCATTGGTGCTTTAAAATATTAAGTCTATATTACTGGTCAGAAACTAAACGTCACTGAGAGTGATGAAGATTTTACAGTTATGCCCGAAGTTTGTTTTCTTTTCCTGGTAAGGATTAAAATAAAGTTCGAAATTACAGACTTCTTCTTCTTCTTCTTCTTTCGGCTGTTTCCGTTGGGGGTCACCACAGCGAATCATCTGTTTCCACCTAACTCTATCCTCAGCATCCTCTACTCTCACCCCAGTTAACTTCATGTCCTCTTTTAGCACATCCATATATCTCCTCTTTGGCCTTCCTCTTGACCTCTTGTCTGGCAGCTCCATCTCCAACATCCTTCTACCAATATAACCACTATCCCTCCTCTGCACATGTCCAAACCATCTCAATCTGGCCTCTCTGACTTTGTCCCCAAAACAGCCAACCTGAGCTGTCCCTCTGATGTGCTCATTCCTAATCCTGTCCATCCTGGTCCCTCCTAAAGAGAACCTCAACATCCTCATCTCTGCTACCTCCATCTCTGCCTCTTGTCTTTTCCTCACTGCTACAGTCTCTAACCCATACAGCATAGCTGGTCTCACTACTGTCTTGTACACCTTTCCTTTGATTCTTGCTGCCACTCTTCTGTCACACAACACTCCTGACACCTTTCTCCACCCACTCCAACCTGCCTGCACTCGCCTCTTCACCTCTTTCCTACACTCCCCATCACACTGGACTGTTGACCCCAAATACTTAAACTCCTGCACCTTCTTGACCTCAGCCCCCTGTAACCTCACTGTTCCACTTCCCTCCCTCTCATTCATACACATGTATTCGTTTTTACGACTGACTTTCATTCCTCTTCTTTCCAGAGCAGACCTCCACCTTTCCAGGGGTTCCTCCACCTGCTCTCTGCTCTCACTACAGATCACAATGTCATCCACAAACCTCACTGTCCACGGAGATTCCTGTCTGACCTCATCTGTCAACCTGTCCATCACCATAGCAAACAAGAAGGGACTCAAAGCCGATCCTTGATGTAGCCCCACCTCCACCTTGAACTCCTCTGTCTGACCTACAGCACATCTCACTACTGTCGTACTCTTCTCATACATATCCTGAACTACTCTGACGTACTTCTCTGCCACTCCTGACATCCTCATACAGTACCATAGCTCCTCTCTTGGCACTCTGTCGTACGCTTTCTCTAAATCCACAAAGACACAATGCAGCTCCTTCTGACCATTTCTATACTTCTCCATTAGACAAGCCCTTATAATCTTAGTCTTGTTGGGTTGCGGCTGTGTGCCCTGTCCATGTGACTTTCTCTGTCTCCCTTATCCTCTTACAGTGGCTCTCACCTTTATCACCTCTCATCCTGCAGAGCGGGTTGTCTGCTGTTGTCTCAGTTTGCCCACAGAGCAGACAGGCAACAGAGCCAGAGTCATGGCAAGTCCTGGACAGAAAGTGGTGCTGATTACCGGCTGCTCCTCCGGTATCGGTCTGAGGATGGCTGTTATACTGGCCAAGGATGAACGGAAGCCCTATCACGGTAGGAGTGTGTGTGACAGAGAGAAAGAAAAAGAGAAAATTAATTTTTAATTGCAGTTTAATTTTGCTTGTTAATTTGCATGTTACATTTGTGTTGTCAAAGCACAATGTAAACAAACACAGTTTAACAGACAGATTAAACTTTTAATAAAGTTACTTTATTTTCATGAAATTCCACGATTTGCTAAACATCTCACAAACACACTGCCACAATCACTCTACTTCTATTACATAGTTTACACCAAGCCTAAGGTGTTTATATCGTGACTGGAGTGTCAATAAGGGTATTATATACTGGTCCACATGGAGATTATGGAGATTAAAGCCACAGTCACTGTTTCTAACACAGAGCAGTAGAGTTCTGACTGGAACAGTGGTTTAAATACTAAAATTATGAACCACAAGACAGTAAATGAGGAACTGATCTGGATACAATTTGGAATCCACAACATAACTGATCCTAGAAAATGAACTGAAATAAATGCATGGAGACACTGGAGTAAATTAAAGGCTGTGCTCTCTACTGAAGAGAAAGAGGCAGAGCTTTTTGGGGGTTCAGCCACAAAAAAGTGAGTTAGGACCTCAGTGGCCACATTAAAAGGCTTTTTATATGTGCAATAACATTTTTACTTAATAGACTGTAACATTCAAAGCTTTCAAGACAAATGGAGAATACTACAAACATCCAGTAGGGCTTTTATTCGTGTTCCATTTAGACTACATTTAAAGATTACAACTTGGCTACATGATCAAGACAAGTTAGCTTTTTTAAAAGAAATTCCAGCACACCAACAAAATATTAATTGCTCCTCTCAGCCATAAAGTGAGACTGAGAGGTTGTAAATGTTTATAGTTTAAGGGGCATTTGCATAAATCTGTTCAACATGGTAGTAGAATTTATGGTAGTGCATAAATAAAGGAAATCAATGTAAGAAATGTCTGTGCTGTTTTTATTGTGTAAATTTGTTATTCACATTCATTTGAGTTTAATTAGGTTGTCTAGTTTTAATTTTCAGGTCATTTTAGAAAGTATAACCATGAGTTGTTGTGACTTGGGATGTTTCCACTTGAAATGATGAGTAGAGATAATGAACTGCTGAGAGTTCACTGAACTCATTAAATTAGGTTTATAAAGGAATAAAACTATCAGACTTCCATGATGCACTGTGGAGAGTTAAAACTCTGTGATTGTTCTTTATTGTAATGTGGAAAACATGGCAGAAACCTTCTGTGTGTCTCCGCTGTGGATGACAGGCTGGGAAAGGCTTTTCCTGGAGCAGACAGGTGACGTGAACACCACAGTAATAAGCTAATGCTGATAAGTAACCTGGTTGTTGTAGCTGTGACTATCTTTAGCACAAGCTTTTCCACTGGTGTGTCATTGAATTTCAGTTATTCACAAGGTGCAATCAAGACAAAACAACCAATGGTTTAAGCCAAGAGGGTTGTACATGAACACATTTTCCTTCGTGTGAATGGACACAATGGACACAAAAAATTGTAACAAGTCAGGGGATATCAAAATTTCACAATTCATCCTGAGGGGGACATAAATGTTCCTGCACCATATTTCATGGCTGTGCACACGCAGTTGGCACAATATTCACTTAAAACCACAAATGTCAATGTCATGGAGTTGCTAGTGGAAAAGTGCACAACTGTTCTTAAGCTACAAGGATGTCTGTCTACTACTGTACTAGGCAGTAAAATATGAACACCTCAGGAGTTTAAAACAACAGTAATGGCTAAATAAATGACAAGACAAGTCAAACAATACAGTAGATACATGTCAAATGGACTCTTTCAAAGTCCTCAGGTCCTTTTTTCTTCTTGTCACCCAACTGTCCACAGTCATAGCCACGATGCGTGATCTGAAACGTAAAGATAAGCTGGTCGAAGCTGCCGGGGATGCATATGGCAAAACTCTTTCTCTGGCTGTACTGGATGTCTGCAGCGATGAATCCGTCAAACAGTGTATTAATGGCATCAAAGGTCGACATGTGGATGTCCTTAGTAAGTGGATGCATCCTCAACACACTGAACCGATCATACATTTTCTCCCTGTCTTCTTTGATTACCTGTTCTTCTCTGAACCAGTCAATAATGCAGGTATTGGCCTGGTGGGTCCAGTGGAGAGCATCTCCATTGAAGAGATGAAGAAAGTGTTTGAGACCAATTTCTTTGGGGTGATTCGCATGATAAAAGAGGTGATGCCCGATATGAAGAAAAGAAAAGGAGGACACATCATCGTGGTCAGTAGTGTGATGGGACTGCAAGGTGAGCAGAGACAGAGGTGTGCTGGGATGAATGAAGGCAGGGTAGGACCTTAAATTTTACAGGGAGAATGACAGGTTTGCCTGCCTCAGTATGATAGATACATGGGTGGATGATGGACAAATGGAAGAGTGGGAGAAGGTTAAGGACAACTAAAGGAGCACTAGTGCATGTCTTTTTTTTATGTTCTTGGAAAGTAGAATTTAAACATGTATTCTGTCTTTTCAGGTGTGGTGTTCAATGATGTGTATGCAGCTTCCAAGTTTGCCATGGAGGGCTTCTGTGAGAGTTTGGCTGTGCAGCTCCTCAAGTTTAATGTCATGTTAGCTTCACTATACTGTTTCCATCAAAGCAATAACACATAAAAAGTCTTACATTTAACACCATGTCTAAATACTGTGCTAACTGATGTCCTCTTCAGTTCTGACTGATCCTTACAGTTTTATCAAGGGTTAGACATAAAATCCTTTGTTTCATTAGTGATTTTTACATTGATTATTTAAGTGTTTCAATCAATTAATTGTTAGGGTAGTTTATGTCAGAAAATAGTTTCCAGAACCCAAAGTGCAGTGCGTCATTTTTTTTTTTTTATTTTTTGTCTGGACATCAGTTATACAAGCCTAAGAGTCTACAGCCATGCTAGTGACAAAGCTACATGAGCTAAATGCTAACACTCTGATGTTTAGCTGGTAGAATGTTTACTTTGGTAACCATCTTAGTTTAGTGTGTTAGCATGCTAATGCTAATTGTCACTAAATACAAAGTACAGGTGAGGCTGATGACAATGTCATTAGTTTTTCAGGTATTAGGTCATAAAACAAAATTTGGACCAAGTTTAAATTTTGGCCTGATGTTAGCACTAGATGAAACATTATTAGTAGCTCTTCTCTAGCTGGAATCGACACATTGTTTAGCATTCCTCCCATATTTTCAGTCAGTTAAAGTGAACTGGCACTTCACCTCAGTTTGATCAAAATGCTGCCACTGTTCTGCCTGTGTACTATGTAGAATTTTAACAGACTGCTGCTAATGGATTATTCTATGATCTAAATTGTTATTGATTAATATGTTGTTGAATAATCAATTGATTGATGATTTCAGCTCTGGTGTTAATCATTTGCCCATAGAACTCTTCCTCAATTTAACCAAGCTCTGCTGCTAAGGTCCAGTCTTCATATGTTTACCTTTTTTTGCATCTCTTTCCTCAGATTGTCACTGATTGAGCCAGGCCCAGTGCACACAGAATTTGAGGCCAAGATGATTCAGGAGGTGAAGCAGAAGGAGTGTCCTGGAGCGGATCCTGAGACTGTGCATTACTTCAAGAACGTCTATCTGACTTCTTCTCTCAACATTTTTGAGATACTGGGCCAAACACCTGATGACATTGCCAGAGTAAGTTCTCATGGAGCCTGTAAATCTCACCATGGCTTATCCGTTTGTCTGTATTTATGATTAATCTTGTAGATCTGACTACAAATCTTTTGTTGTTTCTGTCCATCCTCCCATTCTCTGCAGTGCACCAAGAAAGTAATTGAAGCAAGCAAGCCACGTTTCCGTAATCTGACCAACCCCTTGTATTCGCCCATTGTAGCGCTCAAATATGCTGATGAAACTGGGGGCCTGTCTGTCCGTGCCTTCTACCACATGCTCTTCAACCTGGGCCCTCTAATGCATGCCAGCATTACCACTATGAAGTGCCTCACATGTGGATGTCTGAGGAGCAGGGCAGTTTCACCAAACTAGAAACTCATGTTTTTTATGCCAGTGTGCCATAAACCCTCAATGTGAGAGGGGCCGAGCTCCAAATGCAGCTATACCTATTTGCTGTGCCCACTGTGTGAATGGGCGCATCCACAGCTACTGGGCACAAAATTTTGAATATTGGTTTGTGCATTGTGGCATGTACAAATTACAGACCTGTTCCTTTACTTAGCTTTTGTGACAAGTAAGCATCGAGCCAAGTCTTTCAGGTAGGCTACACTGTTCTTTTATTCTGTGTTTTCATTATGTATTAAGATGGTATATTTGACGAAGGTTAGACACGTTAACGTTGTCACTGTAATGTACTGTACTTTCATACAGATTTATAAATACGGTGGCGTGCTGTCATTACAGTTTGTGCTTACATTGTGAGAGCAACATGATCATTGTTTTTATTGCTGCTGCCAGGTACATGGCTAATAATCCTGGGTCTGTCTATAACTAATAAACGTTATAATAATGAGTGATCTCTGTGTTCATGTGTGAACCAAATAATGGAGCTTCATAGCATTAACGTTAGTATATTTTGTGAAGGTTAGACACGTTAACGTTACTGTAATGTACTGCACATTTTGTGTATTTATGTAGTTTTTATGTTGTGCACATTGTAGGCAGTGACGTGCGGTGAGGTTGACAGCTGGTGAGGCACTGACTCTTTTACAGTCAGATTTACAAATACAAATTGTCTGTTAACAGACAATGCGTTATGTTTTATATCTCATATCAGCATTCTTCACACAAACGTGACCCGTATTTAATTTGAGGTTAAAATTTATTCTAATTAAGCTTATTTCTAACTAGAAATAATAAAATTTTATGGTCTTACCTTTACTTGTACACGAAATCCATTTGTCAGCTGGTATGTATTACAAACCCTTTTACCGTTCGAATCCAATATTAAAACAAATGTTTTCAATAAAGAAGATCCTTCTGGACAAAAATGTCCAGACTGTCTAAAATGTTTTGATTGAAAGTCCAGATTTGCGAATTTTCTCTGCTTGCAAATGTAATCTTCCATTTTGATAAGGGGATTGTAAAGGAAATATAAACAAGCACGAAGAAGATTGTAGGTAGCGCAAGAATCTGTGGGCTCACTAGCGCACTCTGCCTTGAGGCAGGCGTACTGTTTGCCTCACCGAGTAACTTTTTTACTGGGGCACAGCAAAGTGCTGCCTCATCGCACATCTCCTCCATGTATTTGAACGGGACATACGGGAATTCTATTCTTTATTGAAAAAAAAAATCCTTCAACATCGGATTCGAAGGGCAAAAGGGCCTACAACACACACCAGCCGACAAATATTAACATTTATTATATGTTATGGTTAACTTTTTTTTATTTTCAAGATTGACAGGGGAGGCTCTGCCTCACCTGACCGCACGTCACTGGAGTTTAGTCAATTTTATGGTTTGTGAATGGTTTTATGTACAGGGAGACAAGACCCTTTTGTATTTGGTTTGTTGATTCATTCATTTTCTACCGCTTAGTCCCTGAAGGGGGTCACGGGGGAGGCCGGAGCCAATCGGGCGAAGGCGGGGTACACCCTGGACAGGTCGCCAATCCATCGCAGGGCTAACACATAGACGAACAACCACACACACGCCCGCACACGCACTCCTATTTGCAATTTAGAGACACCAATCAACCTAAACTGCATGTCTTTGGACTGTGGGAGGAAGCCGGAGTACCCGGAGAGAACCCACGCAAGCACGGGGAGAACATGCAAACTCCACACAGAAAGGTCCCAGGTGGGGCCCGAACCCAGAACCTTCTCGCTGTGAGGCAATGGTTTGTTGATTTGTGATTAATTGACTTGTGGTGTTTATTTAATGGTGCGTTTCCAACTTGTTGACTCTGACCATTTTATTCCTGTTCTGCACTGTATTTATTGAGTGGGGAGTAACGGGGAGCAGCCGAAACCGAACCCGAAACCTTCTCACTCTCCAACAACTGCGCTATCACCGGGCCACCGGTGGGAAGCGATGCCCACCGCGCCGCCCTAATACAAGATTTCAAATGTTCAATGCAAAAGGCAGCCCACAGGGTGAATACTCCACAAAATGCATCCAAAACTTGATGCACTAATAACCTCATTTAAACTAATAACCTTCAGAATAATGCCTACGATAGGAAATTCGCCAACAACATTACAGCTTATCTGAGGAAGGACAAGTTATGTGCCAGCTGTTTGGGGTCTATCACAGTGAGTTGCCATCTGTGCAAAAAAATATCTTGCGCTGTAAAATTCGGTCCCTTTCTGTTTCCTCTTACCTCTTATTCAAAAATGGATTTCTACTGGTAATTACTTTGAATTTGTGCTTTTACTGTTTGTAGCCCAAATTGTGCTTGATCTGAAACCTTCACAAATACTGCTTTACAGTTAAGGCCTCACCTAAAAGAAATCTTAATCTCACTTGACTATATATGAAACAATACCCAGAAATGTGAGGCACCAGCTTTAGAAAGCTTTGAGAAATGGTGAACCATACATTTGTGCTACTTCGGACTCAGAGAAACGCAGGCTTGACAAGGTAAATGTATTTTAATGAGTTACGGAAATGACATGTGGACAGAGCCGGTCTTTTCAGCCGATCTCGGGACTGCTAGCGATGTAACCTGGGGCTGAAGGAGAGGCGCAGCCTGCTGAATAAGAGCAGAGGATGAGAATGAGAGAGAGTAATCGGTAGGCACCAAACTGAGCTGAGAAAAAACAAAAATGGTCGAGGCCAACGCGGTCCGGGGAAACACAGTTCAAACATAAGGCGACCCTTCGCAACAAAACAAGAAGGGCAAGCATCACGAGAAAGTAATCACAAACGGAGGGCATGCAATGCAAAAACATAAGGTCAGGCTCAATAACAGAAAAGCGGTCCAATCACATAGAATCAACGTTACCGCAGAGATGATCTGGTAACGCTTTCCTTAAGTACTACTCTAATCATTGGAAGCAGGTGTGCATCGCCGCCTGGAATGCACTGCCACCTGTGCCAACTGACGATGTGCTGGGGACGGCCCGGGACACGGACGTAACACTTATTTCGTTTCCAAAGGAGGAATCCACTCTCTGACAGACACCATCTGCCTCTAAATGTCTCGTTTGGCAATTGAGCTGGCATTGTCAGCTGTGTCAAGGGAAATGGACATCTCGTGTGGGAAGATGGATCTTCCGTATCCACTAAAGACCACCGAGATTAAATCTCTCGTCGCCCTGATTTATGTAGCCTATGTAGATTACAGTGCTGTTAAGCCGTCCCTGGTAGGCTAGTGGTTAAGGCGTTTGTTCTTCTGGGGTACTAACAAAGTATTCAGCTAAAGTTTATGCATTGTATAACATTGTTTTTTAATATTTACCTTTTTTTAATATGTTCATAATCATAGCTGGAAGTGTGCAGTGATCCCAGAAGAGAGACGGACAAGCGGGCTGGTTTGGCTATAAGAACAAAGGTAGAACAAAAGGTCAACACCGGGCAGGGGCAGTGAAGGAGGACTGACAGTTTCCATGGATGGATGACCAGTTATACAGGACAATCTCCTCACTGGGATCCCATCTCTGTTTTCACCCTAATAAACACCTTCACAGAGTGAAGTCGATTGATTTCCCTTCAGGAGGA